TGAAATGGAGTCCATTTCACATTTTAGCTAATTGGAATTTTAATTAATGGTTATATATTTTCTGATTTTATTAATTAAAAATTTAAAACTTTCACCACAGTAATATGTCATCGACTTCTCTTCCTCCTCCTTTTCTTCTTCTTCTTCTTCTTCTTCTTCTTCTTCTTCTTCTTCTTCTTCTTCTTCTTCTTCTCCTCCTCCTCCTCCTCCTCCTCCTCCTCCTCTCTCCTCCTCCTCCTCCTCCTCCTCCTCCTCCTCCTCCTCCTCCTCCTCCTCCTCCTCCTCCTCCTCCTCCTCCTCCTCCTCCTCCTCCTCCTCCTCCTCTATTCCTCCTCCTCCTCCTCCTTCTCCTTCTGCTTCTTCTCCTTCCTCTCCCCTTCCCCTCCCTCCTCCTCCTTTTCTTCCTCCTCCTCCTTCCCTCCTTCTCATTCTCCTCCCCTTCCCTCTCCCTCTCCCCCTCTTCCTCCTCCTCCTCCTCCTCCTCTCTTCTTCTTCTTCTTCTTCTTCTTCTTCTTCTTCTTCTTCTTCTTCTTCTTCTTCTTCTTCTTCTTCTTCTTCTTCTTCTTCTTCTTCTTCTTCTTCTTCTTCTTCTTCTTCTTCTTCTTCTTCTTCTTCTTCTTCTTCTTCTTCTTCTTCTTCTTCTGCTTCTGCTTCTGCTTCTGCTTCTGCTTCTGCTTCTGCTTCTTCTGCTTCTGCTTCTTCTTCTGCTTCTTCTTCTGCTTCTTCTTCTGCTTCTGCTTCTCCATCTGCTTCTCCTTCTCCTCCCTCTCCCTCTCCTCCCCCTTCTCCTTCTCCTCCCTCTTCCTCCCCCTCCTCCTCCCTTCTTCCTCCTCCTCCTCCCCTTCCTCCTCCTTCTTCCTCTCCCTCTTCTATCAAACTGAAATGGCACATGTTTATAATTCCAGCACTCAAGAGGCTAAGATAGGAGGATTATGAGTTTGAGGCCAGTCTGGGCTACACAACAACACTCTGACAAAACAAACAAAACAAAGCTAAGTTTATAATGAAAAACAATAATCCTATACCTTGATTCGCCTCTCATTCTCTGAATCAAAGGCCATATCTTCTAATTTTACCTTTTTTCTTTATAGTTCCTGGGATCTCTGAATAATACACATTACTACTATTGCTTGATTTATCACTTTTAGATATTATATTTGACTTAATTTAGATGAGGCTCATTTAATCTTACTCCCTTCTACTTTCTGATGGTATAATTATGTCGCTCCCTTACTGTTTATTTTTGTAAAGTTAAGTGAATTACTTATTTATATAATTATTTTATTCCATCAGCTCTAGATACCATCTCACAATTGTTACCCTTTCTAAGCTTTTATCATCTGTGCATTTATAGTGTCAGGCCTGAGGTTACATTCATATGCTTAGAATGACAGTTCATGCTTTGACTATGTATTGGTTTTAGAAACTGAAAATTAATATATTTGTTTTACTCTAAGAAGGATGTGGCAGTATGATTTGGTTTCCCCTCTTCTATTTTTTCTTTTTTTATATTTCTCATTATCTTTCCTTTCCTTCAAAATGTATAACCCTCTTTTGGGACTGCTATTATCTGAAAAAAACCCCTGTATTGAATATTTTCTACTAGGTTCCTTCCATGCTTTCCACATTTGGGGCCATTTTTCTTATAAGTTCTCAGGTTGTCTTCTTTCCTTGCTTTACCCTCATTTTGCTGGTATGCATCCTGAGGTTAACTAACCTGCTAAGAAAGAACAGGTGGAAAATAAATTTTCTAAATATTTTTGTGCACATTTGAAAATATCTTTATTCTACCTCCACATTTAGTTATTTTAATTTACTTAGAATAATATAGTTGGCTGGGTGCCAGTGACACATACCTATAACACTAGCTCTTCAGGTGGCTGAAATCTGAGGATCCTAGTTTGGAGCTGGCCTGGGCAGGAAAGTCCATGAAACTCTTATCTCTAATTAATCACCAAAAAGCCAGAAGTGGAGGTGTGGTTCAAGTGGTGGAGAGGCAGTCTTGAAGGAAAATGCTAAGGGACAGTGCCTAGGTCCTGAGTTCAAGTCCCAGAACATACACAGACACACAGACACACAGACACACACACACCACACTAATGTCTTATGGTCTTTTTGGAGCCTTTGGTTTTTGTCCTAGTAGGATGCATTTTGCCCATCTCGAATGGATTTTCCATATCTTATGTTTCTTGCTTCTTTTAGTACTATTCTACTTTCTGCTAGACTTTACCTTTTAACACATGTTTACTTTTAAATTAGTATTTATTTTTTAATTTATAAGAGTTGTGTTTCTTCTGTTTCCCTCTGAGTGGCCACATCTTGCTTTTGTTTTGTTGTACTCTCTCTAAGGATACTAATTAAGGACTCTGTGTGTGTGTGTGTGTGTGTGTGTGTGTGTGTGTGTGTGTGTATGAGTGTGTGTATGCTTGGGCGCATGCCTGGGCTAGCTTTGAACTGCAATCCTCAGATCTCAGCCTCCTGAGTAGCTAGGATTACAGGTGTGAGCTCTTGGTGCCTAGCTCTAATTAGGAATTTTTAAAAATATTTTTTCCTCTGTTTCTTTTCAGTTATTTCTGCTACTTTCACAGTGCCTTTTTTGAGGGTTGAATCTACTTTATTTGTACCATTTTTCCTGAAATTTAGAATTTTGTCTCTCAAGTTATATTTCATTGATAGTGATTTTTAAGTTCATATATTTTTTTTACCATATTCTCATTTTAATGAATTTTTGCCTTTTTAATTTATTTACTTGTACTGAATACCAGAATATAAATGAAAATAAACACATGGAGCTCAAGAATGATCTGTAAATGGCTGTGTCTCTTCTTCCTACATAGATCCTCAGTAGAGCATTAGCCACGAGAAAGCACACTTGGTCTTCCCTCCTAGGGTAGGGAAATTAATTCCTATCTCAAGAGTCAACAAAAGAGATAGTTAAGCTGACTACTTCATTTACACTTGGTGGGTAATTTAGTGAATTTTGTAATTCTTTTAAAGGCTTAGTTTTTCACTTCAGTAAACGTGATTTAATTGGGGAGAAGCATGAAGAGTTCTTCAGCCTCCAGGACAAAAGCAAAACTCTTCGACTGTCTCCATCCTGAGCTCCATGCTCTCCTCCCATCTTTCTGGCTGCCCTCCATCTGTCTGCACAGCCTACTACCTGTTCCATGTTGCCCCGTCTTTGTTCATGATGGATCCTCTGCCTGGAATGTTCCCTTCCTCCCACTCCCTCTTGAGTTCCCAGAAGGCAAGGCTCAGATTTGCATTTCTCTTTGTGAGGCAGCAGTGAGATATGAACTCAGAGCCATGTGCAAGCCTTCTACCACTTGAGCCATGCCCCAGTCCTTTGGCTTTGAGTTTTTGAGTTCTTCGTATCGAGTCTTTTATTATTATTATTATTGGTCTGACAGACCCAGGACTATGAAATCCCCCAACTTCTGCCTCCTAAATATCTGGGAATCACAGATGTGTGCCACAACCTGGGTTGTTTTTGAGACGGGGTCCACAATTAACCTTTGTCTCAGCTGACTCAAACTGCAATCCTCATAGCTACATATTTGGAGCAGCTGGGCTTGCAGGTGTGAACCACCATGCCTGGTTTCCAGACTCACTTCTTGAAAGTGGTTGTATTTTCTGTTATTTTTGAACTGTTCTTAAAAATAGATTACTGTGTTTATTCTTCTTCCCTCACCCACATCTTGACTTACTATGGCCTTTGATTCATCTTACTTCCTGCTTTCTTTCTAACTGGTCAAGAAGTCTTCTACCTTCAGTCATATCTATATGAAGTTCAATTACTTTTACAAACCTGCCAAATCAAGAAACAGACTTATCTTTGAAGGGTGGAGGAGCCTGTCTAATCCAGAAGAGGTGGTAACCCATATTGTGAAAGGATATAATGCTATTCTTGTACAAAATTAGCCTTCCAATTAGATAAGGACCCTTATTGTCCAATTTATAACAAGGAACCATGTCTGTGTATTTCCTTTGTGAGATGTGTGAGCGGTGTGGAGAGGAAGGAGCCAAGCTAAAATAATGATTGCATTTAAGTTCTGCATGTTATTTACCCAATTGAAACTCTTGCAATGGAGGATTGATTTTCTGAGCAAAGACTCTATTGAAGACTTTTGATCTTCAAAAGTGTCAATAGTAGTGAGAACACAGGAAGCCAGCCAGCTATGTCTGGTCTACTTCTCCCTTCATCCCAAGTGGATGATAGGCTGGTTTCATCACAGTTCCGTTTACAAAACTTCAAAATCAGTGATAAGGTTCTGTGGTGGGAGCTTGCTCACTCTCTAGAGTGGTAAGGAGGGTGTGGTTGCTTTACCTCACAGAAGGGAGGTATTTCTACTGTGTGTGTGTGTTTCTGGGGACATACCCCGTTTCCCTTCCTGGACCCCTGTGAAGATCATCTCTTAGAATGGTTGATTGCTAGTCAGGATCAACAAAGCCAATTGGTATTTTTTTGGCCAAAAGACCAACAAGGCTAAGATACTGGACAGAAGCCAGAAGAAATTATTTTTGGGTTTTGTCTTGCTTTGTATTAAATGCAATACACTTTTACTGGGATGAAAAATTAGGACTTTATCCTATAGAAATCCACTGGGTTTCAGTAGGAATCTACTGGGTTTCTACAGTATTCCTTTGTTGATGGGGTAAACATGTTTCCTTTATTAACTTGTTCTTGGCCTACAGTGACTTTAGGTAGCATGTGCATTCAGAGCTTTCCTTTGCAAAGAAGACAAGAAGTGAGGTGAATCAAAGGCCATAGTAAGTGAGCCAAGACCTTTCAGAGAATTGTTATGGAAGAGGAGTAACTAAATACTGCAATCTATTTCAGCACTGTTTTTTGTGTTCCTCATAAGACCATGTTTCCATCCAAGAGACTATTTTAGAGGGAGGTAGTAATACCTAGATTAGTTGACATTTATGCCCTTATTGAGTCTCAATGAATGTCTCATATGCATTTTTCTTTTTTTCTTGTTCATGTTCTTAAACAGATACTAATTTTGTGTTGGGAAATGCCCAGATTGTGGACTGGCCTATCGTGTACAGCAATGATGGATTTTGCAAGCTGTCTGGCTATCACAGGGCAGAAGTGATGCAGAAAAGCAGCACCTGCAGGTATTTATGTTTGGGATTGTGCTTGTGAGTAATCTACTAGGCTATCTTTTAAAAAAGGGAAAATGGTATACTTGATTGAGAAGCTTCTATTCCTTTCAGTGTTCACTCAGTAATTTTGTGTTGCTAAATCTTCTCTAGTTATGCATGTGCTGGGAAAACCAAAGACCTTGAACATGGTCCTTACCACTGACAAATTTGTAGTCAGTAAAACAGGGGAACCCAGAAAAACTCAGATAAGCCATTTTATCTATAAAATGTGACCTCAGAAGTTTATGAGATTTTAGAGTGAATTACATGTGAAAGTTAGAGGAGCAAATAAAATGAATTGCAAATGAAATCATAGTTTAGATGTTTAAATGAAAAAAATTACAAGCATTTTAGAGAAGACTAACGATTTTTATTTCTTTAAATTTTATTTTTTGTGGGTTTGAACTCAGGGCCTGAGCACTGTCCCTGAGCTCTATTTGTTCAATGTTAGCACTCTACCACTTTGAACCACAGCCCCACTTCTGGTTTCCTGGTGATTAATTGGAGATGAGACTTTCCTGCTTGGCTGTTTTTTTTTTTTCTTCCAGTCTTGGGCTTCAACTCTGGGCCTAGGCACTGTCCTTTAGCTCTTCTGCTCAAGGTGAGCGCTCTACTGCTTGAGCCATAGTACCTCTTCTGGTTTTTCTGGTGGTTTATTGGAGATAAGAGTGTCATGGACTTTCCTGCCCAGGCTGGCTTTGAACCGCAATCCTCAGATCTCAGCCTTCTGAGTAGCTAGGATTACAGGTGTGAGCCACCAGCACCCGGCTCCTGGCTGGTTTTGAACTGTGATCTTCAGATCTGAGCCTCCTGAGCAGCTGGGATAATAGGCATGAACCATCAATACCTGGTGAAACAAGGATTTTGTTAATATTTTCCTCAGTCAAAATTCTTTCTTTTTTTTCTTTTCTTTTCTCTTCTTTTCTTTCCTCCCTCCCTGCCTGCCTGCCTTCCCTCCCTCCCTCCCCCCTCCCTGCCTGCCTTCCCTGCCTGCCTTCCCTTCCTTCCTTCCTTCCTTTCTTCCTTCCTTCCTTCCTTCCTCCCCTCTCTTGTCTTTTCTTTTCCTTCTCCCTCTCTCCCTTCGTTTATTACCCCCTGGGGCCTTCTTTCTTTCTCTTTGTGCTGGGGCTAGAACTCAGGGCCTAGACTCTATTCTTTAGACTTTTTTCCATCCACTTGATCTACAGCACCATTTCTAGCTTTTTGGTAGTTAACCGGAGATAAAGTCTCATGGACTTCCTTGCTTTGACTGGCTTCCAACCATGAGCCTTAGATCTCAGCCTCCTGAATAGCAAAGATTACAAGTAGAAGCTACTTGCCTTCAAAATTCTTTATTCCAGAAAAAGAGAAGAGAACCAATATTTTGTTGCCTGGTAATCTGTGCAGTTACAATGTTCTGATCTCTTAGCAAATTGCATTAACAACACAGCTTGTGTATTTGATATGGAGACTAACCAAGCTGTACCCTTGGGCCTGGGTGTTAGCAAATCTCTTTCAAAGCATCTTCAAGGTGTTGAGCTGGGCATGTAGCCTGCTTCCTGCCAGGCATCCATCCCTCAGCAGTGACCTGGCAAAGATCTCCGCTCAGCATAGGTTTTGGCAGCTCTTAATCTTCTTCAGACTTCTCTCTGCACAGGTATTTGCATGAAGTTGAATCATTTTTCCCAGCATGTTAAGTCAAGAAATGAACATCCATGAAGCCTGACCAGCTAGTCATAATTTTCTGTTTCTCAAAATGATACTGTCATGTGCTAAGTCAGAAAAATGATTTTAGTTTGGTGAAAACGATTAAATGTTTAGAAAATGTCTTAGTGATCTTAAAGTTTAAGACTGACATGTGGAAGATTTGATATTTTTATCCCCATCTGTCAACGATTTAGAAATTATTCTACATGCAATTGAATCCTCTTATATTAATGTGCTGCTTTCCACTGAAGTGTCTGTACATTTCACATCTGCATATTCACCTGCAGCTGGATTGCACATATACAATTAACAAATCCTCTGAGAGATAACGTCACTTTTTAGTGTGACCTGAACATCATGTCCTTACCTTTCTTCTTATTGGCTATAATTAGGCATGCTTAGGAAAGCAGATGAAATCTCTGATTTCCAGCTTATTTTAAATACCAGTTTTAGGCAATGTATTCAACGACTTGACTGTGTTATTTACCTAGGAATAAACACATCTTTGTGTTATGTTCCTGGTAGCTCAGGAATTGGTTTCTTTTTCTTATGAATTGTAGTTACCTGCAATGTCTACATTCATGTAGACATTCATATACTACATTCATATACTTACCATTAAATGAAAAAACTGGTCAAAACTGATGTAATTGTGAAGTTTTCCATAAATGAACTATCCCAATATTGCAGGGATCTGATGAAGAAAATGGCTATCACATGTGTACCAATACTCATTTAAAGAGAGCTTGCTTATCTAGAAAATTAACTCATGAAGAAGAGGACGAACCTTCTTGTTCTCAACGGGGATCATTTATTCTTGACCTATTCTATTTTTTTTTTTTTTTTTTTGCAATGAGTCCTTGTAGGCAGGAGGTATTCTACCACATGAGTCATGCTTCCAGACACTTTGTGCTTTCATTCTTTTTTTTTTTGTCAGTTGTGGGCCTTGAACTCTTGGCCTGGGCACTGTCCCTCAGCATTTCAGCTCAAGGAGAGTGCTCTATCACGTGAGCCACAGCACCACTTCTGGTTTTCTAGTGGTTAATTGGAGATAAGAATCTCACACACTTTCCTGCCCTAGCTGGCTTTGAACCACAGTCCTCAGATCTCAACCTCCTGAGTGGCTAGGATTACAAGCATGAGCCACCGATGCCTGGCACTTTATTCTTTTATAAAAAAGCAAAAAGAGAAGTTTATTTGAAATTGAAATGAAAGCCATAAAAAGAAAGTAGTGAGACTATTTGGAAAGGGACCTCAAAGAAAGAAGAATTTAACAGAGGAGTCTTCTCAGAAGGCAGTTATTATAGTATGGGGCTCCAAATGGATTCCCTTGTTTTCAAAATTTTTTTGCTAGCCTGGATGTTGATCCTCCTATTTATGCTTCCTGCATAACTGAGATGATGGGTGTGCATCACTGTCTCCAACTTTTTCTTGGTTGACATGGGTAGGCTACCTCTCTTCCCTCTAGGCCTCTGCCAGTTGGCCTCAAATCGCAATCCTGTTTCAAGTTTCTTGAGTAAATGGGATTACATTTGAACTCCCATGCCTGGCTCTATTCTTTTAAAAAATATTTTAACAGGCTCAGTTTCCTTTTTTCCTGATATATAGGTCAAGAGCACAGTCCCAAAGCAGAGTACAATATGGGAAACACCCAAGAACAACCACAAATAATCACATCTCAATGGTTTGAGGAAGGCCATAAAATAACAAAAGAGACACACTCATAAAGTCAGAAGCTAGCGATCTTTTAAGTAAGTTGCCTGAATTAGAAAGCCCTGGTGAGCCCAAGGTATTCCAGTATCAAGTAAAGTATAGTGTTTGATTCAACTTTTGGTCAGGAATTGGAATTCAGAACCTCTGAGGTTCTTTGTAGCTGTGAATGTTGGTGAGTTAAAATAAACTTAGCTTCTGTTTGGTATTCACAGATTCAGAAGATGGGAAGTGTATGGTTTAGGAACCATGTCCCTGTTTCTGCATTACCTAAGCTTGAAGAGTGATTCCTGCAGCGTTTGCTTGCCCAGGACCACAGGCGGTTGGGGTGTGATTGCTGAGCCCATGGGCAGCCGTCAGAGAACTGAGCTTCCCAGCTCCATTGAGAGATAGCTTTGTGCTCTTGAATTTTCATCCTGAGCAAAAAAAAAAAAGCCACAGTTTCACTTCCAGTGTTTGGTGGAGATAAGTCTCACAGACTTTCTTGCCTGGGCTGGCTTCACATTGCAGTTCTCAGATCTCAATCTCCTGAATAGCTAGGGTTATAGACATGAGCCACTGGTATCTATCTGGCCCTCTGCTTTTTAGATCTCTTTTCCCTTACTTTGAGGAAGCCTTCTCAGGTCAACCAGAGTGTTTTGTGGCTATGCTATGTGTGCTACCTCCATAACATTAATCATACTGATTACTAGTACTTTCAAGTGTATGTTTCTTATTGGACTTATATTTTTGGAGGGCAGGGATGGAATCTTTTTCATAGTTAAATCAGTAAGTCTTCTTTTGTTTCAAAAATGTTTTCACTGTATGTATGTGTGCATGTGTGTGTATGTGTGTGCGCACACATATGTTCTATAGTGCGTATCGCAATGCTGGATCTAGAGTAGAACTGATATTTAATACCCGCTTATAGAACAGTATTTGTTGATTTACTAACTTGAAGTCTTTGGTTGATTTGCAGTTTTATGTATGGTGAGCTGACTGATAAAGATACAATTGAAAAAGTGCGGCAAACCTTTGAGAATTATGAGATGAATTCCTTTGAAATTTTGATGTACAAGAAGAACAGTGAGTATTCCATTATGGCCATTCTCAGCCACACCTTTATGTATTTGGAATAGTAGACTATCTCTTCCACTTCTGTTACTATCATGTGTTTGTTTCTCTTTCATCAGTGAAATGAAGTTTTCTGAAGCCTAAGTATATCCAAGTTACTCACGGGAACGTTTGATGAGGTTCCTGTCACTAACCAATTAGGACTTCATCTTTTTTATTGCCAGAGTTATTGTTTTCCTATTGGTTTACTTATGACTTCTTCCAGGGGGAGCGAAGAGGTGGGGCAGAAGCTTTGTCCAATCCATCTTTCTATTTATCTTCCACAGCTCCTTGTATAGTAATACCCCTAGGTGCCTAATTAAGACTTTCTGATGAAAGTTTGTTTTGATCGCCTCAGGAGATACTCTTGACAGCAGTACATTGTCAGCTGTATTTGTTTTGGTTATAATGACTTCCACAAAATTTGTTAGTGAGGTTTTTAGGTCTGTAGTTATACTCAAGCATAAAACATGTTTTTTGTTGTTGTTGTTGTTGTAGATAGCTATACCAGTAAGTATGGAAGAGGAACCACATGGGAATGAGAAAGATTCTAAGAGTATTGAATAGTACTTTATTTCTGTTTTAAAAACACCATTTTGTTTGCAAAAAATAAATTCAACTCTTTCTATGTAGGGCTGACTGGCAGGCTGTTGGTTCAATAGAATATTTCCAGAGTGGTCCAGATGGCACACGAGGAGAAGTGTTTATTGGATGGCATTCAGACTTGGGTGATGTTTTGCTCTGGAAAGCAAAGGGCACATACTGCTTTTATCTCCCCTTTCCCCCTGTCTGGAATGTCGGAGCAGGCATCTGAGAGAACCATTTACTTGGCCTGTGCTGTGAGAGATGAGTTTTGGCTATCAACGAGTCCAAGGGGACAGTTTCTGTATGCAGATTTTGCACTGGAGTGGTAGCCTTGCTTTAATGTACTCTCCCAACCAATAGACCTTTTCCTGCCCTGCTATTAGCTATGGGAGCAATGAGGTAGAGGACTGGGAGGGATTCTGTATGGTCCTTCCACCTTGAGGGAACCCAATACCAAGCAGCAGCTCTTACCAGGAGCCTGCATGCAGTGGCTTTCTCAGAAAGAAGACATGGGCACATGTGCCCTGAGTTAATAGAGAGAACAAGTGGTTTTCCACATGGGTAGCTTTATGTACTGAACAATGTGACTTGCCCCATGACACAGAATGCTAATTGGTAGGTGGATCACATAAAGAATGCCTTGCAGCTGGGTGCTGATGGCTTATGCCTGTCATCCTAGCTACTCAGGAGGTTGAGATCTGAAGATTATGGTTTGAAGCCTGCCCAGGCAGGACAGTCCATGAGACTCTTACTTTTAGTAAACTACTCAGAAAAAGCCAGAGGTGGAGCTATGGCTCAGTGGTAGAGCACTAGATTGAGCAAAAAGAAGCGTGAGACAGTACCCAGGCCATGAGTTCAAGCCCCAGAACTGGTACAAGAAAACAAACAAACGAACAAAGATGTCTTGCATTTGTGTTTTGTGTCTAAGTCTCATTAGGCTATTGAACTTGCCCAAATTCTACTCTACTCATTTGGCACAAAAGGGAGTGAGAAGCTTCAAACATAATTTAAATGGTTAATAATTTAACTTACCATTTTCTCTAGTGGGCATATGTCCTAGAGGAAGTAGGAAATAGTAGAGAAGGTTTAGCTGGGCTCCAGCTGTCTCTGAACTACAGGTCATACATGGTTAGCATCTTAGTGCACTGGAAGTGATTCTGGCTTTGGAAACTCTGTACTTTAAGAAGACAACTATCCATGGAAATCACCTAGTTCAACCTATGGGCTGTACAGCCAGCACCTCTCCTCTCTGTGGTGGTGTAGTGGGGTTGCTGAGGGACCAATGGCAGTCTCCAGTATCATATGTCAGTCTAGCACAGGGCTGTCATTTGTGGTTCATGTTAAAGCTTTTCAAGAGTAACCCATTTTTTAAACCTTAGTCTTCAACTTTAGAAAGAAAACTATGTAGGGAATAATTCAACACTTTAAAATATTATTGATTCTTTCTGGGTACTAGTGGCTCATACATATAATTCTAATTACTCAGAAGGCTGAGGATTACAGTTTGAAGTCAGCTAGGGCAGAAATATCTATGAGACTTTTATCTTCAATTAACCATCAAGAAGCCCAAAGTCCCAGTTGTGGTTCAAGTGGTCAGTGGAGTTGTGGTTCAAGTGGTTGAGCATTAGCCTTGGGCAAAAAAGCCTACATCCTGACTGGAGCTTGATTCTCTAAGTTCTGTGTAGGTATGGCTGAAAATTAAATTCCTCATCTGAGCTCATATTGGGCCAGGATCTTATGTGCAATGTTTTCTTTGTGGCCATTTTTGTTAGTCTAACTGTGGGCGCAAGGCATGCTTAACACATAGTCGCAGGCTGCTCTTTTCATGCAGAGTAGCTTGCTAAACCCTCCATACACTCAGTTCTTCCTATGCTAGGAAGGAGCTTCTCTTTGTAATTTACAGAGTTGTCCCAATGGGCCAGCAGACACTATGTATGAGCTCACTTTGTACATGAAGTATGGAGCAGGAAATCCAGGAAATGATGAAGACAGTGTTGATTTCTTCTTAGGATCGCTGCTGATCAATTTCCTCCCCATCTCTCCTCTTCTCCTGAAAAATACAGAAACTTTATATTATTTGATAAGCCTTGGAATGATACAATTGCTTTGGATATTTTCATTGACCAGCTATATGAGAGACTGGGCTTATTCCCAGGCATGCAGTTATGAAAAGGCATATATAATATCTGCTCTTACAACACTTGCAAGAGTGGGCACAGAATCCATAGTACACAGCCATAAGTTCCTTGATGGGGACATTGTTGTGAGATCAGCAATGCTTCAGGGTGGAGGTCTCCTAAAGGGAGGAGGCTTCTGCCTGGCCCTACGGTACAGAATTTGTGATGTTACTGCAAAAAAGGAATTTTAGAACACATAGAGGTAGAGACCAAGAAAGTTTATTAATAAAGCAAAGCAAAGGCAGGATAGAAAGGTGAAAGACAGCATACAACCAAGACATGAGTGAGGTCCAAAGGTTGGGCCTCACTCTTGCTGTTATACTGTTTAATTGGGAGTAGAGATTTCAAGGTTGGCCTGCTCACCACACTGGGATCATTGATGTGTAAGCATTGATTAAAAAAAAAAAAAAAAAGGAGCCAGGCACTGGTGGCTCACGCCTGTAATCCTAGCTACTTTGGAGGCTGAGATCTGATGATTAAGGTTCAAAGCCAGCCCGGGCAGGAAAGTCCCTGACACTCTTATTTCCAATTAACCACCAGAAAACGAAGTGTGCTGTGGCTCAAGTGGTAGAGCACTGGCCTTGAGCTGAAGAGCTGAGGGACAGTGCCCAGGTCTAAAGATCAAACACCACAACTGACAAAAAAAAAAAAAAGGATGGATTTTCCACACATTCTTTTCAAGACAGGTGTCCAATCTTGGTCCTAAAGCATGCTAATTAGCTGGGTGAACAGACAAGGTCAGTAGGTGAGACCTATTATCCCCCCCTTCAAAAATAAACATGAATGCTTATGAGGAGGTGCAAGGCTGAAAGTAAATGATATGGTGCCTGTGTGCTTTAAACAGACTATGTATTAATATAGTGCTCTCTGTGAATTCCTGGGCAGAGAGTATCCCTGGCTGATGAAGTGCATATAGAAAGGGCAGTAGGAGAGAGAGGGCAAGAGGTTGGTGAGACACACAGCAATGCTTCTCAGTCTTTGATGTTCACCTGTGAATAGCAACACATTAGCCTATAGAGTGAGTATGGGGCGGAGCCTGAGGTTCTGTTCCCAAGTGATCCACATGTTGCACCCCTGAGTAGCCAGGAGAGAAAGTAGCTGTAGGGAAGATTGGCTTCCATGCCTGCAAGGTATGCATCTTCCACAGCTGTATCCCTTGGACCCAGTGCACTGCCTGGTATTTATGAAGTGCTCCATCAAAGTTCACCACATAAATAAACACATAAACACACGAGGCTGAAGAGTGATTAGGAAGGGCAAAGTTAAAGAATTTGGAAAGTGTTAGGTCATTTAAGCTCAGCCAGTCGGGGGTAAGAGGTTAGAAGAGGTTAGGCGACTCTTAAGTGGTGTGAGCATATCATCAGATTTCAGATGTCTCTAGCTGGATGGAGGGTGGAGACAGAATGGAGCGTAGCCAATGAGGAGACAGAGGGGCACATTAGGAAGCACCCTGGGGACCTGTGGAAGAGATATTTAACATCATTGTCCAATGAACAATAGAAGAGGCTGGGAATACCTGTATCAAAGGGTCACACTGTCTGGCTCTTTCCTCAATTTACAGAGTTCTGGAAGTGGAAGCCCTGTACTTCCGGGTAGGAACACAACTTCTGGCCTCAGGCAAAAATATGCTAGGAGTTAGGTAGGAGCCAGACACGATGCAGAGGGGCTGTTGGGTGAAGGTTTGTGGAGTCACTTCGGAAGGAACTTGGTAGTCACCAAGAAATAGATAGATAGGGGAAAGAAAATTATGTGTGATTTCAAGTTGAGAGCATCAGAAGTGGGGGGTGAACGGTGTGTGGGTCACAGTGCCCAGGGACATCCAAGGGTACAAGTGACTGAACAAGATTGGCTCAGAAGAGAGGAAGATGGGATTCCTTCTTCACCGCTGTGGAGGAGAGTTTGTGCTCGCCAACTTCAAAGTTCCTTAGAGTAAAACTTCTATTCCTTTAAAGCAGCTTATTGCCCCATCAAAGAAAAATCTACCTTACTGAGATTTTACAAAGTTAAATGTCACCATCTAAAATAGTATTTTTGTCTCCAATTTCTAAATTCTTTTTTTTTAAATCAGAGAATACTTGAAAAAAATATAAAGAAAATCACCCTAAATGCTCAGAGACATATTATTATACTATTAACTTTCTGGTATGTTTCCCAAGTTGTCTGAGATTTTGACACCTATGTACAATTTAATTTATCATTTATTATTTATTT